ACGATCGTCCAATTGCAGATAAGTATCAACAGGTAACGTAATGATGACGGAGATAATGAGTATTTTGGATTTGTTTTAACGGAAATTAATTTTCTAAACGATATTTTAGACAAAAATTCGATTTTTTTTAGTTATCGAAAGGGTAATTTATTAGTAATAATTCGAATTGAGAGACAAAGAGACGATCGGAAAGGATAAAAAGGGAGAAGAACGGAACAATATTAAAAGATAGGAGGAGGGAAAAAAGTAGAGAAAAGATAATTAAAATAAAATTTATTAGAATAATAAATCAAAGAACAATCAAGGGATTTTGTAGATTAAGAAAAGCAAACAATATCTTAATCCGGAATAATTAATTACAGCAAATATTAATACCCTTAAGCGCCTTTACCTTTAATAGCAAACGTGACTACACGTTAAGAACTCATTCCGGAAATAGATCGCGCCACTTCCGGTACGACACCTAGTGTCAGAAACAAAGACTAATTGTCCATATCTACTACAGGGAGTTGTTACTTTTGTTTTCCACTCATTGCGTAATTAGTAATCCATTCTCTTTGTTTAATAATATCAAATTCCTTTCAATAATTAAAGCGACAAACAACTTTCAATTTAATTTTTATTGAATAATGCATTTTTTTTTTTTCAAGGGGCATCCCGGCTTGTGTCGGAGAATTTACATGCCGCTTTAAGCGTGTTTTTAATTAATTTTAACGTTTTATATTTATTTTTTCGGGTTTTTCTGCCGCTAAACCCTACCAGCTTCTGGTTTTATAGCGAATTTTTATGCTTATGCTGGTGTTAAATTTTACTGTTTTTCTGTTAATCTATGATGACAGGCTGTAAACAGCCATTTTTTAGCTGGCTGTAAACAGCCATTTTTTAAGCTTTAAAACTTCTGTTTTACTTAAACTGTAAAGAGATTTCTTTTATATTTTACGATAATTTAACGTGTACAATGAATTTACTGTATACAAAAATGGCTTGTGTTTGCTGTTGTGGGTTAAAAATTAGGCTTTTGTAAATTTTTTACGGCGTTCTACGCTCGTTCCGACACTTAAAAATTCATTATTATCATTAAACAGATAATTATAAGCTTTAATTAATGTAATTACTGGTTGGTATATAGTATAGAATTACATTTAATATTGTTTAACTCATAGTAGTTATATACAGTTTAATCATACGGACCATATAAACTGTATAATAGTAAATACAAGTTGAGATAACCGCGACTGTAGTTTATATCCAAGGCATTTTTTTTTAATTTGAAAAGCTCATTTATACAGTTTAATTAAAGAAATTGGCTACAAAATGCCGTAAACTTTACAGAGTACAGTAAACACAGCATACTACAAAAAAACTGCAATTTATACCCGTAAAATGCTGTAAAGTTTACAGTATACAGTAATTACAGTATATTACATTTTAAAGCCTTTAAAATAATATACATTTTTACAGTGTATAGTAAATACAACATACATCAAATAGCGTTTTATAGGCTGTAAAATGCTGTATACAGTATACAGCATTTTGTACAGTGTTTTATACAGTATATTACAGCTGTAAAGATGAATTTTATGTCAATTTTTAGAAAGAATAACGTCTAATTAACTCGGTAAATAAGTAAAAATATTCTAAAATCTAGATTTTAATCTTAAATTTTAAGTTTTCATAACATTTAAAACCCTCTTTGGGAATATAATAAATGGATTTAACAGAAAAATCGCCGCTATTTAGTAAAATNTGTAATTTATTGGGAATTTTATTAGATTAAAAATTAATTTAGGCATTTAAAAAATAAATTCGTGGACCACAAAAAAAAAATATATATATATATTTCTAGTTACGTAACTACATTCAATGGCTAAAATGCCATTAAATATTTTAATTCTTCCATTTCTTAATGATGATTTATAAGGACAAATATTAATTAATTAATTACATCTCTAGAGCATTATTTAATATTACAAAAGGCTTTTAATTAATAGGCGATTTACTCTTATATTGTAGTAAGAAGCTTAAATATAATGGAAACTATAAGCATGAGAATTAAATTTGGAAATTTTAATACTTTAATGGCGATTTTTATGGTAGGGAAATCTTTGGGGAAAACAATTTCCTGGTGTAATTCATTTTGTTGTTTTGAATGTATTAAAAACTATTTTCACCATTGTCCCTGGCTAATGCGATGTATATATTGTTTTTGGGGGTGGGTGGAGCTTTTTCTCGATTGAATTCATGCTGCTGTAGGAATAATTTAAGATATATACCATTTTACCACTGGAATTTTTCGAGTGTTACACTATAAAAATAATGAGGTACACGTTGAATTGTTTTCTTCAAACGACAATTGTTGTTGATGTTTCTTTTTCTGGTTTCTGTATTACATTAAATAAGTGAAAATTGTACGTGCTGCTGCAATAATGATAAAGATTTTTGCTAAATTTGTTAAAGATAAAAAGTTGCCTAAGGTTTGTATACTTTAATCTATTCAAATTCTTTGAGTAAATCAAAGAACATTATCGTAAAAAGTCTTATTTGCTGTTTTTTCATTAATTATAACATTTTATGAGCCTCTAATAACAGAAATATCCAGTAAATTTCCCGGAAAGAGTTAAAATTTTGTGTGGCGCCATCTGTTATGAGATTTTATTAAAAAGCACTTTTTATATTATTAATTATTGTGAAGTGGCAAAAAGCCTAATAATGAAAATACAGATAAGTTTTATTTAAAATGAGACAGATATTTTAGATTATTTCTTTATAAAATTGATATCCAAAGAAAATGGATTGTAAATTTTATTTCATTTTTAATGCTTATATAATTTCTTTTTTTAGTATTTTTATCAATTTTCTCTGTCTCAATCTCTCATCTAAACTTAATTTTCTCAGATATTTTTTCGTTTTACATATTTATTCTGGCTAATTTTAATTTTAATCAAATAAGTCTGCACGACCAGGCACTTAAGGGTATTTATTATACCTTTATAAAGTCTGAGTAAATAACATTAAGTGCTCTGTAACCTTCTAAAGCTCTTATTTTAGTGGAAGGAATTTAAAATTATATTATTTTTGAATTATTTACGATAATATGAATGCATAAAAATGCTCCGTTCTGTTCTAAGAGGTGCGTAGATAAGTGTAGGGAAAAAATTAAAACGTGAACATAAAGGACAAATAAATCAAACGTGAGCTCAAACTTTAGATGAATTTCCAACTAATTTTCGTGTGTTTTAATCATTAAGGATGCTTGTAATGGAATAAGATTATCTCTCCCAGCACGGAAACTTTCATAAAGTTGTGTTCGTCTCCCTCTCTCTCCCTCCCTCTCCATCTTTTTAACTAGGAAAACTTTGCTTCGCCTTTTACTCAATGGAAAACTTGCAAGTTTGAGAGCAGACAGATTGACAAGAGGACAGTAACTGGACATTTTCTACCATTTGGATTGATAGATGACTGAAGAAAAGTCACTTGTTACTTTTCTGAAGCGAGAGAACACCTGACAAGCAGACAAGCAACTTAACTGTCATTTCCTTTTGAAGGATCACGATGGAGGGAGATATCCCTTCTACTGCTAAACAATAGACTAGTGGACGGAGGTGAGTGATCCAATCAAAAGTTACAATTACGTGAGTCATTCCCTCATAGATTTTAATTAAAAAAATTCTGTCTCGTGTCCTCTTTTCTCCAAAGTCATAAAAGGCATCTCGTAAACTCTTATAAAAATTGATTCTTCTTTCTTAAAAGTCCTCTTTAACACCGCTTCTATTTTCTAAAATGGGGACGAGGGTGAATTTATCCTACGCCGTCTCCTATGACGTAAACAATGAATCCTATTCTTAAAATTGATTAAACGTATGAGTTCCGGTCTTAACAGCAATAAAAGTAGCGATGCGCTCTCCTAGAATATGGGTTATAAAAACTTAATTAATACTTCTAACAACTTTCTGTTTGTTTAGTAATACTTAAAACTTTTCTACTCATTACGAATCTTTAGTAAATTATTCAAAAACAAATGAAATTAAATCATTTTATTGCTTTTTCTAATCCCTTCTTTCACGCGAGAAAGAAGGGAGTGTGTCGAAGATAACAGCAGAATTACCTTAACTATCCATTTTCATTAACTGCATATCCAATTCTTTAACAGTCCAGTTAACAAAGTCTCTAATGTGGATTTAGATAAGTAATAAACAGTCGCTTTTCTAAGCAATCTAAATGTGAAGTTTTCTTTAAACACGGGTGGATGGCGTATCCTTCCAGACGTTTAGAAGCTCTCCATCTCTAAACATGGAAGGATTCCTAGAGGTAATTGGAAATAAGCCCCCGACTCCTTAGAGGAGCATTGTCAAGATATATTCTGCTAGAGGCAGCTTGTCTCTTCCAACCGTTAATTGGATCGCGGTGTGTGTGTGTGTGAGAGAGAGAGAGACTACACCATTTTAGTCGGGGCAGTATTTCTTTTTACGATAGGATTAGCGAGTGTATAGCAGAATGAGATAAGTGAGAGAGAAAGACACGAGACAGATAATGGTCAGGTGCAAGGCGAAACAACTCCGTAATCGTCTACAAGGGGCATTTCTCTCACATGGCCAGATGTGACAACGTACCACCCACTAGTCTAGCAATCAATGTCAAACTTAGTCTAAGATACGTCACTGGAACGACACTCACAGATAATCGCCCACTAATGCCGAGTTAAAAGCTCCCTTTAAGAACTACTCTACTCATTTTTTAAAGGGAGAAAATGTCCCAAATCTATTAATCTTTCCTTTCTCCTTCTACAGTCGATTTAAACCTGGCAAAAAAAGGAAAAAAAAAAGAGGAAGAAAATCTCGGATGTCGCAACTCCTGACTTTATACTACTGAAAACTTTCGATTGATCACGAGATCGATAGTCGATTGTAAAGTGGACTGCTCAGATATAAAATATGTTTATACGTAATTTAGTTTCGTCACAATTAAATTTAGTTATGGGTAAATTTTCCAGTTGTACTCACCCGCAACTCATCGCACGGATACAGTTGAGAGAGGCCTGGATGTTTGACAACCGAGTACCAACACACGTTTACAGCGACTGATAAGGATACTGCACGGTTAGAGACTGGGTAGGATATGAATGTCGTCATAGTATAGCGCACCCTGGTGGCCGTTCGGTGAACCAACTTGCACTGATGTTGGAACAATCGATTCGAACGTAATTGAATTTTCTAATTTTATTGTTTAGTTTCAAAGAGGGAGAGAGAGAGAGAGAGAATGTGTGTGTGTGTGTGTGTGTGTGTGTGTGTGTGTGGTGTTTCGTTTTGTCATTTCTTAAGGTAAATACAAATTATTCGCTTCGTTTTAATAACAAAAAATTCATTCGTCATACCCGAAGATTAATTACGAACAGTAAGTGAAATTTAAAAAAAATGTTTAAATAATTAAAATTATACATTTTTACTGCGTATAAACCGTGCCATGTCGTTAACGTTAACGACGGAGTCCTTTCACGTGCAAAAATACAGTATTTACCCCAATATTTGCATAAAAATGAGCGATTTTCTAACTGGGATGCTTCACTGTACGACTCGCGAGCCGCGCAGCGAAGCACGCTTTACGTTAAAGTTAAATATTTGAGCGAAACTGCGTAAAAATTTTTCTCATTTTAATGATTTTTGTTTACGTGTTAATATTTATAATGACCCTAACTGATAAGGGATGTCTTTCGCTTCGCTCAAACACTAGCAATCAAGGAAAACAACCAGTATAAAATAAACAAGATATTCGTTTAATAATGAACATAAATGTGTCGTCAGTGCTTTTTGAAGCTAGATAGAGGAATAGGGCCAAGTTGTATGAGCCAGTCGCTAAAATATTTACCACTTTAACCGACTACTGAACTAACATAAAAGAAACATCGTAAATAAATAACTGATTTGACTGCCTTAGGAAAAGATTCTTAGTAGTTGTTGTAATCTCCAAGACTTATTCGGCTTACAACTATCTAATCCTTGATTTTTGGGGTTGTTTTTAGTTATATATTGGAGTGAATTCTGATCATAAACACTCTCTTACACGATCTACTATAAAAAATTTACAATTTCCTATTTTCTACCAACTTCTATAAATATTTATAAAGCGGGTATCAAAATATTTTATAACAAAACTATTTATCTTTAAGTTTACATCAAAAGAAAAAAATATATATAATAAACATCACAGAATTATCTATAAATTATGGTTATACATTTATACTTTTAATTAATAAGCGCTAAATATTTATATAATTAACATAAATTTAATTAAACGTATCTAAATTTAAGCTCACAAGCAACAACTCATGTAAGATTATATATTAAAGTTAGAGGCTTGATATTTGTAGAAATTTTGGGACCAATTAAAACTTTCATGAATGTTGAGAATTAAAGCTGAAAATATAAATTATATTATCCCAAATGACCTTATGTTGACCGCAGTTCAAGTTTACTCAAAGTAAATTAACTATTGACATTGTTAGAGGCCAAAAATCTTATCTTTTTCACGTATAAAACTGTGATGTTTGTCAAAGATATACTCAGCAATATTCGGAGATGGCAGAGTCAATAGATAATTTATACTTTTAGCTTTAGTTCTCTTAGCAAAAGTAAAGTAGCGAGTGTTTTAGCAACCTTATGCAAACTAACTCCAGTTTTAAGTAAATATGGGAAGAGGTTAAATTTAGAATTTATTTTCTACATCAATGTATCATCAATGTATAAATTATCACAAGATGTTTCATTTGTTTAAATGCATTCAATACTTTATTTACATTTTGATAATTATCTTGACTGTAAGAAAGTTTTATATGATTTTATAAAATATAACCAATTATAAATTATTTTAAGGCATTCATATAATTAAATTAGGCAATTTTGTATTTTTTGGAAGCATAAAATTTATTTTTATGCTTAATTTTTAGTGCGATTCTGAGGTTTTTATCTTCGTTATCCTAAGAATTTTTTTCACTTTTAGAAGAATTTTTCTTGTAGAAGTTATTAAATAATGTTAATATACTTAATAAATTTATAAATTATAACGATTTAAAGTTATAAATTAGCCATTTTTATATTTTAGAAAGCATAAAAATAAATTTTATGCCTAATTTTTTATATATTTTTCAGGATTTTATCCTCGTTATCTTAAGAATTTTTCAAATTTTATAGGAATTTTTCTTGTATAAGTTATTAAATAATGTTAATGTACTTAATAAATTTATAAATTATAACGATTTAAAGTTAAAACTTAGCCATTTTTATATTTTAGAAAGCATAAAAATAAATTTTATGCCTAATTTTTTATATATTTTTCAGGATTTTATCCTCGTTATCTTAAGAATTTTTCAAATTTTATAGGAATTTTTCTTGTATAAGTTATTAAATAATGTTAATGTACTTAATAAATTTATAAATTATAACGATTTAAAGTTAAAACTTAGCCATTTTTATATTTTAGAAAGC